GGGAAAAACACCTGCGAGGACCCTAGACGACATCAGGACAGATTTGGCCCTCGTCGCGAGGACCCTAGACGACATCAGGACAGATCTGGCTCTCGTCAAGGCAGTCGACCCAGGAGGCGCCATCAGCGGACCGGAGGAGGAGGATCAGGACATCTCTCCAGCAGTCGACCCGGAAGCCGCCATCAGCGGGCCGGAGGAGGAGGATCGGGACATCTCTCCAGCATCGACCCGGAGGCCGCCATCAGCGGGCCGGGGGAGGACAATCAGGCCACATCTCTCTAGCAAGCACCCCAGAAGCCGCCGTCAGCGGGCTGGGGGGACAAAGACATGGCAAACCAAGACGGCACAGGGAACTCCATTTCCCGCTGAAACAGGTTGATATAGCCGGTGTGGAACTTTGTCTGAACAATCCATTTTTTGGAGGAACTTTCAACTTTATTTTTATATCCCATAATTTAAGGGATTTGTATTTTTTACCCCACAGAACTATGTGTTACCAAAAGAGGGAAAAGTTTAATAATGTCTTTTCTAATTTCTGTGGCTACTTTTATTGCCATTTTAGTGACATGTGGTTGTTGTTGTGTGCCTTGTATCCGCTCATTGTGTGTTAGACTCATCAGTTCCACCATTGAGGGAAAAGCTGCCCCTTCCCCTTCGTACCAGATGCCCTTGTTGGCCTATGCGTCGGAGGGGGAAGCGTACTATGACTCAGCTGACAAGGACTTTGCTTTTTAGACATGTTTTATTCTCCCTCCACTGTCATAAGAAGTTGTTGTTGTGGACTGTTCCTAAAGGTTTAAAGTGCTCTATATCCCAGCTTCTGATGGGTTTATATAAATGTTGGGACACAGGAGAAAAGAATGACAGTGGTAATGTTTCTAATGCTATATGTTGATCTCGTGAGGTGAGATCAAAAGAGGGATTGAAGTAAAAAGATATGATTCTACACTGTATTGAAGTAAACATGTATTATTTTGAATTGTATTTTAGTGAACATGTATTGTTTGAACTGTTTTAAGTAATCACAACTGTTATAGGTAATCACAACGGTTTTGGGTAATCATATATATAGAAATGATATTCTTACTTTCAAACTCACTGACCCAGAGATTCTGTTTCACATACACCGCTCCTTTTCACCCCTCCACAACAGATGTTGTTTTTAAAGTCGTTAAAGACCTCCTTAAATATGTGGAGAAAGGTTTAAATGTCTGAAAAAGGATAGTTTATGTGAAAAACTCTCATGGGAAAGGAATGGAGTTAAGATCGGGGGCCGAGATAAGAGTGACTTTTGACCTTGTGAAACTTAGGATCTCACGTTCTGGTCGGAACTCTGATTCGCTGTATTGAACCCGACCAGGACTGAATCCAACCAGTAAAAACACTTGGGGGATGTGACCAGCTCACACAGCTCCTCCTCTCGGACTCTCTCATTCGCTTTGGAATGAAAGGGGAAGGAAAAATTCAACACATCTCCGCCCCAAAATAGGGATATGTATACTGTTGTTTTTGAGTGTAAAATGCTTCTGGTTTGTTGAAAGCTGGTGCTAGAAGACGGTAAACCGCATCACAAACCTGGAGTCCATACTTCTCTTTTCTGAAAGCTGGTCTGTCTACCTGTAAAACCGCATCACAAGCCTGAAGCCCAGAGTACTCTGTATAACTTGTATATGTGTTTGGTTTCCTACCAGAAGTAAACTCAGATAATTGTTATAACTTTTGATTCCGGTGTTTTCAATTCCTTTCTTTATTTTAATAGAGATTTCAGCCTCATCCAACGAACGGCGCGTAGCAGAGGGGGTGGCTATCAGCCACCACAATAGGTGTTCTGCTCCAACAGTTTATGAAAAGTGGAACCTTTGTGACCATGGTGTTACAGGTGCAGATTGACAGGTGGGTCCAAAAGTTCCAGAAACACTAGACATGTAGCCTTGCTACAACTCTCCATCAACACTTTGCAGTGTCCTGTGTTGTCTGCTTACAGACTTCATGATGAGCCAATGAAGGTGTCCTTTAATTCCTGTGAGTATTTACCCACAACAATTCACACATGTTGCATCATGGGACAGTTGACTTTTGGTATTAGCCCGAATAACGGTGGAGGGAAATCACAGACAGTCACTAGAGCTGCTGCTAAATTAAGTCAGAGCAACAAAAAATGTCCAAGTACACCCACCTGCCTAAAGTTGTGTGTCTCAGTTTAGATCAGTTGTGATGTTTGACATGTGAATTATTCTGCTATGGAATCTGTTGATTTTGTACCTCAGCCTGTACATTACATTACTGCTCTGTGAACTGCAACATTGTTTAAAGTTTCTTTACATATTTACCAGTTTCTTATCATAATCCACATGAACCATTCATCACATTGGCATAATGCTTGTGTGCCACTCAATTCATAGCCTGTTTGTAACCAGAACGGACACGCTTCATCTTCACCTGCTGCACTCTGTGTCTGCGGTGTTTAGCCCGGCACTAAAACACGAGAGCAGAGAATATTAATGATGATGTAACATTTGAGTGGCAATGCTCATGATTCTGTGTGATTCTGTGCAGTTCTGTGTGCTGCAGAACAAAGGGCTAACCTTTACAAAACATACTAGACTCTGAAGTTTTTCCTATAACATCAAAGTCAGGGCCAACTTTCCAATCTGACATTAAGAGGCTCATTTAACAGTTGCATATTGACCAAATGTCCTGGTGCAGTTTACATTTCCTTAGTATCCACATTTCTGATATAGTTTAGAGGTGTATTCCTTTTAGTGTTTTACACTGTGTGTGTGTGTGTGTGTGTGTGTGTGTGTGTGTGTGTGTGTGTGTGTGTGTGTGTGTGTGTGTGTGTGTGTGTGTGTGTGTGTGTGTGTGTGTGTGTGTGTAGAGGTGTGTGTGGGGCGGACTGGCCATCTTTAAAATCTGGAGAATCACAGCTGACGGCCGGCACCGCCCTTACATTTTTATGTTTTCAAACGGCATCATTGAAGTTGCGCTGACAGGCGACAGAGGTCCACCGTTTCACCGTTTCCCCCGCAGCGAGGATCCCCCCCACGTTGACAGTTCACGGGTTAGTTTCTCGTGCGCACGAGAAACTAACCCGTTATCCCGACTTTTTTTTTTTTCTCTCTCTGTTTTAATTTTTTTATCCATGTCCCTTTAGGGCTCCATAGAAAACACATATTGACAGCAAAGATGCCTTCAGAATAGGTATATTAATTCCCATAGACTCAATGACCAGAGGGATGGACAGGCGCTTTCTGTCTGGCACCAATATAATGAGGGATATACAACCTTTAAACCTGTCAAACAATGGCTTCTTAAAGGAAGAATTGGTTTTGTTGATGGCTGAGGCATATGGCTCTGACTGGCCAGACTTTAAACTGAGATACTTCTAGAAAGAAACAGAGCAAATGGCTAAATCAACCCGTCCTGACTGAGTTTGTGAAGTTCTTGGAACCTTTCCGAGAAGTTTTCTTCGAATGGTTTCACTTATGCAAGATTGCTGTTGTTTTGCCACTGAGTACTGCTGGGTGTGAGCGAAGCTTTTCAACTTTGAAGCTTGTAAAAAATCCCCTGCGCTCAACCATGGCAGATGACCGACTGAGGAATCTAGAGATAGAAAGCACTTGACATGGATATTTTTGTCAAACGTTTTCCTGCACAGCACAACAACCATCGCCTTAAGCTATCTTAAAATAGACAGGTGATGTCTTTATGTCTGTGGACTTAAAGGGCCCATGTCATGGCCATTTCCACTGATCATAATTACATTGTTGAGGTATACTAAAATAGATTTATACTGTGCAATTTTCCAAACTCACATTGGTTTCGCATACAGCATATGTATAAGCATATGTCCGAATGCTTCTCGTTTTGCGCCGTACCGTTCAAATGAAATCGCCGCCAATCATATTTCCACGCTCGCGCCAGGGACGGGGGAGGGGTTACAAGACGTGCATCTTGTGCTGCATTCACTTGCACTCGGACATTAGAGACTTTCTCTAATAAATGTCAGATGAGCCACAACTTTTCTTTCAAAACAAAGCTGCCAACTGGGGTGGCAGCTGGGGTGGCAAGGCCTATTTTTAGGGTGGCAGTTGCCACCCCGGTAGGTGAAACTAGGCTACTAGCTACAGTACAGATGCAACTAGATGAGCTGTTAACTCTCGCTCTGACTTTCTTTTTTTTTAAACTCTCGCTCTGACTCAGACAGGTTGAAAGAGACGACACGACACACGCATTTTTCCCACCCGCATTCCGCGAAGACCCGCCCTACTGTGCCTCTGATTCGCAGACTGTTGGTGGGGGGGAAAAACGCTGACGGGATGCTGAATGTGATTGGACCAAAGCGTTGTCAGACATACACAGACAGTGGAACAGTCTGAGATGCAGAGCGCTGTATGCAGTAGACATAGCGGAGAATTTTGACTCGTTGGGTTGTGGCGATGTCTCGCAGATAACACAGATAATACAGATAATACATATGAAAAGTATAATTTGCTCAGAGTCCAGAGACAGTTGTGGTTCGGTCCGGATCCGGACCGGAGTCCGGACTTTGAGGATGCCTGCTGTAGTACATATGCCAGGCCTGTAGATGGTGCTGTTCTCACAGAATCAGCCCTTGCAAAAACAGAGCTAGAAATTGTCAAATTGAGCAAAATGAGGCATGGCTAAAATGCATGATCTGTTTGGTATTTTGAAAAAAAAAAAGTATAAATATGCCTTATATAGGTATGGTCCTACACTATATTATTCAAATATAGCATGATAGGTCCACTTTAAGAACCACTAGAGCAGCTTTCTCTATTTCCTGCTGGGGCAGAGGCTTCCCACAGCTCATTGGTGGATAAGTCCTTTCTCCCCATCCTGTTCCTTTAATCCCCTCACAGTGTGTTCAAGTGTTCTTCATGCACCTTCTCTTCAGCAACTGCAGATATTACCACATTATTTACACCAGGATTAAACCTTTTTTTTACATCTAATTTGGTCATCAGCCTTCTGTAAATATGACAATAAGAAGAGCCCGTCCAGACCGGGTGCAACATTTCCGTCCCCGCATGCACTGCCTTAACAAGGTGGGTGGATATCCTCACCATTACTGGTTTATTGTGTGCTTGCTGCTGGTATTTTATTCATGATAGTTTATTGGTAATTTCATTTAGAAAGTGGACAAGTTTTAAACATACATCTATTTTAAATGATTTTAAAGTTTAATTTAGATTGAAAAATTCTGGATTATGCTGAATTTAGCTTTTATTGAGGTAAAATAATATGAAGCACAGATGATGAGAAAGAAAGAAAAACAGTATAGGAACAATGAGCTTTTTAGTCACTTTAACAGTTGGATCAGCTTCAAACCCACTAAGAGGACAGATCAGGGCCAACACCTTAACAGAAAAACCATAACCATTTCTCTATTTGATTGAGGCAGACAAATAGAGAACATTGTAAATGACATGTGGAATGTAATTAATTACATCATAGAAATCACAAAAGAGTTATAAATCAATGTGTGCTGAACTTTGTCTATGTTGGCACATACGTCATTGCTTTACTAGTATGATATGATTTACTAGTATCTTTTCCATTCCCAATATGTGTTAAGTAGTTGTCTATATGTGTAGCAGACAATGTGTCTGTATGTGTAAACTGTACTTTTACATGTAGTATGACTTTTTTATTTTTTGAAATGTATATTTGTATTTGTAACACTTGGTTTACCTGGGAACCTAATTCTTGAAGGTGCAATATATGGCCCAAAGAATTATCAAACATTATCAAGACAATGTGAAGAGTTCACAGTGTTGACGTTGTGTCAAAGAAGTGTATCCAATATGTTGAAGAGATATTCTGGAATTAGCATGCTAAGTGACTCAAGCTCTGACTAGTTTTGTATTGATTGTTTTTCCTTCACGTGTTCCTCTAGAGGCGATAGTGAGTCCAGTTAGCACTGTAGGATATTATTTCCAAGACATGAGCTGGCAGGAGCATATATACAGTTACAGTACATGTTTTCACGAGGTGGAACAAGTGTTGACACTTGGTGACCTCCCTATTGCTTGCTGTTCCTTTACATTTTTTATTGAAAGTTGACACATTTGTATGGTGGCCGACACGGGAAACACGCCTCAATGGCACCAAACATTTTCATTAAGAGAAACGCAATGCAGCTTCAGAGATGAAGCAAATATAAAAAACAAAAACATGCCAAAACGCAGGCAAATCTCAGTCTTGTGCATCACTTTTTTATAGTGAGGGTACCTCAAATGTAGCATGCCAACTACATTTTCTTTAAAAAGAAAGAGCCATGACATCATGGCATTTTGATCACACAAAAATAATAAAATAAAGCAATCAAACCCTGAATTACTTTAAAACCTTTCTCACTGAAATGCAACAAGCAATATCAATGTAACATTTAATCTACATTACTGAACAAACTACACAAAAGCCCTCCCTGTTGTTGTTGTTGTTGTTGTTGTTGTTGTTGTTGTTGTTGTTGTGGACTTCAACTGAGTTATTAGTTCACAGAAGAAGCTGAAACATGTGTCAGTGTCTCCTGCTGATGTCCCGGTGCTCTGCTTTCAGCTGGAGGCCGTGGTGGTGGAGATGCAGAGCGGGGTGAAGGGCTCCGAGCAGAAACTCAACGTCACCACCATCCCTCATGTGATCACTGGTGAGCCTGACACACACACGCACGCACGCACACACACACACACACACACACACACACACACACACACACACACACACACACACACACACACACACACACACACACACACACACACACACACACACACACACACACACACACACAACCTGCATGCTTACAGTTGGAGAAGGTGCAGTTTCCCTCTGCTGTACTGAGCGTTGCAGCCTTATTTTACTCATTTAGTTGTATGGCTCATACACTCAAACACACACTCAAACAGCCAGAGAGACAAAGAAGGTAAGGTAAAAAGGAGATTTAATACCAGTTTTAAATAATGTATCAAGGTTGTTTTTTCTTTTCTTTAAATCTAAATACAAATATTTAAAAGACAGCATACTTATATTTTCACACATATTGATTATTATTGTCGATTAAGCCTGATTTTCTGCAAACTTCTGACCCCATTATGGTAATTAAAACGCTTTTTGTGTCCATATTTAGTTCAATCCCTAAATATGACGTCCTTTTAAAATTGTAATGATAATGTCACTTCCGAGAAAAAGATGGAAGATGACTGGTTGAACGTAAAACTCTAATATACTGACCTGCCAGCCATGATGGCCCTCCATCATGCTGAGTGAGTGCAGACACTGACAGGCTGCCTGCTTTCTAAGCTGCTAATACAGGCTAAATACAGCAGCTTATTATTGGATGAGATCTGGAAGGTGCTTTAGCCAAAGTGGCTTATTACTCCATTCTAAGAGCAGCGAGGGAAAGGTCAGCATGGATATACAGTATGGGCTAACCCCCCCCCACCTGCTACTGTGAGAAACAGTTAAGAAAATGATGTGTGGTGCAGAAGCCAAGCAGTGTGATTCATCTCCAATGATTGTTACCCAAAGTTACTCATTCATGTTGTCATGTCTCTGGCTGATGCTGCCTGGTATTTTGTCCCTCCAGCCCTACAATCACTTTGTCATTTTCTGTCAAGTTTACAGTAATTAAAGGTGTTGAAAACACATTATTGAACTTTACATTTAGATTTAGGCCCTGTGTGACCCATTACATATGGAACATTTACCTACAGATAATACTTTTGCCTGGAAACTTAGTTTTGAAATTCTCCCTTTGCCATTTATTTTATTTTAAACATGATGTCTTTCAAGATTGCAAAACACAACCTATTTCTTTTTCCAACTACATTAAACAATTATTCCAATACATCATAAAAAGTCACATAAACATCTCTATTCATTATATTAATTCAAAATTGAGGGCATTATGACCACGATACAGAAAAGAAAAAACAAACACAAACTATTCAGCTCATTAACATTTTGTAGTTAATGTGACCTGGCACTTTGTTATGTCCTTTAAATAGGCTTCATCATTTTCATGCTCAAAGAATGCTTATAGAAGAATTATTTGAATAACTACACGGCAAAAAATGATAATACTAACACTTTTATGGCGAACTGTCTATCAACGCAATGTTGTTCTGGACCAACATGATGTGACAAACATTTTATTTTGAGGGTGGAACACTGCATAGCCTACACATACGTTTAGCCACACCATGACATACAAGGTCTGGAATAACATTTAAAGAGTTGCCCAAACAATGAATTCTCTTTCATTTATCCAGACCAAAACTTAATGACACCCCATTAGCATATGCTTTACGTTGCTATAAAATGCCAAATGTTAGCATACTAACATGCTAAACAAAGCCGGAGTGAGTGTGTGTGCAGTGTGTGCAGTGTGTGAGCTTCTCTCTGTTTCATCACAGGTAAAGACATCATTGCATGGATTACCAACAAGATGAAGACCACTACAGAAGGTATATTACAATAAAAATCCAAGATTGGTTTCTAAAAACATGTCACTCCACATGTCAGTTATTTAAATCTAAAACGTATCCACATGTCATTGACTGCCTCATCATTAGTTTGTCCCCCCTGTGTGGTGCAGAGAGTGAGGCCTTTGGCACCATGTTGGTGGCCTATGGCTACATCTACCCTCTGCAGAACCACAGGAAGCTGGTGATGTGCAACGACACCAGCCTCTACCGCTTCCAGGTACTGTACTCACTTCTTCTTTTGGTGCCTATAAGAATCATTGTTGCATTTAAACACATTAGGGTACAGGATTCAAATAGTATACCTTGCCTTTTTTACAAGATTGTCCACGGCCTTACTTCACCTCCTCTTAGACAGTTTATTATCATGCGCACAACTGCAACTAGGGTAACAAGAGGTGCAGCGAGAGGAGATTGCGTTATTCCACTCAGGAAAAGTTCTTTCAGTCAGTCTTCATTTTCTGTTAAAGCTGCACAGAAATGGAACTCAATCCTATCTACAATCAGAGACCAGACTACGTTTAGTTTATTTAAATCCCAACTCAAAACATGGGTATAGAGGAATCAGCTCTTACTCTGCCTGTGTTTTAACCTGTTCCTTTTTGTTTTGTTTCATTTGTTTGATTGTTTTTTGTGTTTTTTTTATAAAAATGTCCAGTACTGTATGTTGTATGATTTGTGTTTGATTGTATTTACTTAAAAAAATCTGTCCAGGGACTACAGATGAAAAATAGCCTCTTGGCTAACTCTGGCACATTTACAGAAATGTTGATCAACTGCCCCTGTTAAATAAATGATTAAATAAAAATAAAAATCATAGAGAGCTGTTCAGAAGACGGGAAACTAGGAGGAGTTTGTGGAGCACTGTGGCATTCTTTAATAAAATCATGGTGTGTTATGTATCTCCTAACCCTAAATTAGATACTAATGAGATTAAATCAATCTCACAGGAGTTATTGAGAAGACCAGTTTACTCAAAATGTCTCTTCTTTATTTTAATTATTGTGAACTCAGATTATTTTATATAATTTATTGGTGGATTTAAATGTGCTAAGAGAAATACAAAAGTAAATGTGACACTTGACTTGCTGGATGTCTACATGGCATGCAGGACAAATAAGGAATTTATTTTGGTTAACCTGCTATCTACAAATGTATCAATTTTGCATGATTACTTTATTATCCTGTGAAACCGTTTTTTTAGCGATGGTTTACGTGATAGGATCAGACAGAATCTATCAAACATTGCAGATGGCAGTAAGACTCTGGGAATGATGACCAGAACCCTCACTGCCTACAGGCCCTTCAGACAGAGCTCTCCCCTCATGGCACGCTGACAGGAGTCCTGTGGACACGTGTCCTCAGAGGAAACATATTGATTTCTGGGACTGAATCGTTTAAAGGTCCCATGACATGGCCATTTCCACTGATCATAATTCCATTGTTGAGGTATACTAAAATAGATTTATATTGTGCAATGTTCCAAACTCACATTGGTTTCTCATACAGCATCTCTGTATAGTATGTGTATTCACTCTCTGTCCTAAACGGCTTGTTGGAGCTCCTGCCCCCCCTCCCTGTGAGCCCACTGTGCTCTGATTGGTCAGCTCGCCCACTCTGTTCTGATGAGTCCACCACCGTTACAGCGGAACATCAGTGATTATGTGTTACAATGGCGTTAGCAACCAGAAAATGACACCAGTAATGACAAACAGATGAGAATGCTGCGTGGGGTCTGGGTGCCGTGTTGGCGGGACGTTGCGGGGCTCGCTGCTGCGAGGAGCGGACAGTGTGAGCTGGCTTGCTGCGTGGGGTCTGCGGGACGGCGGGACACGGCGAGGCCCGGCCCGAGCTCGGCCGGAGCACACACACACACTCACCCGCAGCCTGGCTGAGTCCAGGCTGAGAAATCCGCAGAGCTGCAGCTGAGAAAAATACGGCTGGCTAAGTATGTGTGTGTGAGGAGCTCCGCGGATTGGTCCAGATGGACCAATCCGCGGAGCTCCTCACACACACAGGGGTCGTCGTTACGTCACTTGGTTTCCGAAAGAAAAAAATGGAAAAAGAAAATGTCCAACGAGGCGTTCTGGGGCAGCATAGACAGGTCTTTTCTGTGTTAGAGTTTTACTCGCTACAGGGTGTACTTTGAGGGTTTGTGACTTTGCAGACCGTTTACATAAAAAGCTACATAACACACAAGGGGACGGGTAATAACCGGAAAAGCATGACATGGGACCTTTAAAATACATTTACTGCAGTTCAAATCATCCTGTCGCGGTCAGAGTGAAACAGTTTTTATTTGAATGTTACGTTTTGGTGATGTATAAGAGTCTACTGGCTCCATGTGTTCTGTAGCAGAACAACCATCTGCAGTTAAAAACCACCATAGTTTCATATAAACCTTACATTGTAACATAAACCTGCTCATGATACACAAACCATGTTACAACCAGATGTTGCACAATGAATGTAAGACATTTAGGAAGAAAATAAAACTGGACTGTAGCCGAGCCTGAAGCTAACAGCAAAATAATAATATTGCTATGTTCATCTTGTGTACAGCAAAGATCTCAAGTATGCAGTGTGTGGATCGTTTGATCAGATGTTAAGGTGTTCATACATCTATCAAAGATTACTAATGCTGACTTTCCAATCTAAACCCTTTCAGACCCCATACTTTTGGCCCACACAGAAATGGGTTGCAGAGGACTCTGACTATGGTGGGTGCAGTCGCATTATTACCGAAAGATAACCCTAACCCTAACCTTTCTGTAGACTGGACTCTCATGTGAAACTGGTGTTTCTAACGGATTATGGTTCATAACATCAATTGTACACTTCGTACATCTTTTGTTTGTCTGCCTGCAGCCATTTACCTGGCAAAGAGGAACATCCGCAAGAAAGGCATGCTGGAACCCTACGAACAGGTTTGTGTTTAACAGCAAGTATAACAGTGACTGAGTGTATTTATGTATGTATGTATGTATGTATGTATGTATGTATGTATGTATGTATGTATGTATGTATGTATGTATGTATGTATGTATGTATGTATGTATGTATGTATGTATGTATGTATGGCAGTGGCGAACCGTGTCTATCACAACTGGACCTTCTGTAGACACACACACACCCTCCGCCACCGCCGATTAGACCCCGATCCTGATATCGTATAGCTTAAGGGGGAAGGGCAGCCGTGAGCATATAGGAAACCCCCCCGGGGTCTAGACACTGGTGCTGATGTTGAATATCTGGATTTAATGAAGAGATGAAGAGGAGGTGTGATGAGGTCTTGGGTTAGCTCTCCTGGGCACTGGATGTGATGAAAGGAGGTGGATGGGGTGGAGGCAGGTCGCAGCATGAACACCTGAAATCACAGCTGAGAGGAGAACCATTTTAAAGTTTGGCTGCAGCACGCTGATTGGCTGCTGGAGATTGAGGGGAAATGTAATATGAAATAACTTCATATGGTCTCTTTATTCTTCCCTCACAGCAGCATGATTGTCTCTGTCTTTGTGTTTTAAACAGGCACATTACAACCACCTCCATGAATGGCTGAACCACAAGTGGGACTTTATCGTGATGCAGGCCACTGAGCAGTACAAGTATGTGAAGCCCCCCACAGTATGGTGATGAGTTTCAGTGCTTATTTGGGGGGCATTTCATTAGGAGACATCCTGTGTACAGCATTAAACTTGTAAATGTATAATGTTAGTGTGAGCGCTCTGGCTCACACTGGGGTTTAAAATGATGGAAGGCGGGTTGTGAAAACAAACAAAGTTTATTGCAAAAATATCCGGGTGGCCGAACAACTCAAAAATATTTAACAATAAAATCCTCCTCTATTCCGTGAGGCGGCTCCGTGTCGGTCGGTCCTCTCAGGACCCAGCCGTACTGAAAGAGACCAGAACCAGGTTACCAGCAAGCTTTATTTAGTGACTTATTACCTGATTCTGATCAGCTGTCGGGCCTCCGGCTGAGCCACTCCCATCAACCACGGCCCGCTGCCACAGTTAGAACATTATTTGATTCTGGATCAATGAGTATAAATGATGTTTCATTTCAAGGAGTTTGCTACATGGCAATTGAAACTTTGTGTTTTAAAACATTTCTGTGGGAATCTTTAAACAGTTTTTAGTCATTTTAAATGTAGACCAAACTGTTTAACAGAGTCCCGCAACAGACTTTGACTATCTGTTGAAATATAATATCACTAAAAAGCTAGATAAACTATCTAGACACAATGAGCTTTAGATATGTTAGTCTCAAGATCTTGATTAATGAGCTGCTCTTATCACCACCTACTTCCAATTATTTGTGTGTGTGTGTGTGTGTGTGTGTGCGTGCGTGCGTGCGTGTGTGCGTGTCTGTGTCTGTGTCTGTGCGTGTCTGTGTCTGTGTCTGTGCGTGCGTGCGTGCGTGCGTGCGTGCGTGCGTGCGTGCGTGCGTGCGTGCGTGCGTGCGTGCGTGCGTGTGTGTGTGTGTGTGTGTGTGTGTGTGTGTGTGTGTGTGTGTGTGTGTCTGTGTGTGTGTGTGTCTGTGTGTGTGTCTGTAGGGCTGGTAAGGAGAGGAAGAAGCCGGACCGTGTGGTGTTTGACTGCCAGGAGAGAGCCTACTGGATAGTGAACAAACCACCGGTCAGTGTGTGCCTCGTTCCACACAGTAACGTTCATTACAATATAAACTATATACATACAGTTTATATTGTAATGGTGGTACACACTGTACTGTACTACGTGGGTGAACGGGTGAAGAGCACTTAATGATCTGTTTAGGATCAACAACTGGACTTAGTTTAACACTTGGGGAAGTCAGTAAAACAAAAAAACACCATTTAAGATTCACAGTGGCAGCAGAAACATGTCATTATACTGTGAACCCTGAAATGTTGAGAACCCCAACGTTTTATGTTAGAAATGTATAGTAGGGTCCCCAGCACATAGAAACTGACGGATGCTAACCTGCATATGTTGGGCATTTTCACAATTATTATAAGTTGCATTAATTAACATTAATAAGCATATGCAAACTGTTAAGGAATAATTCTTCTAGATATCTAACCTTTTGCTCTGTGACGTTTTATGATCTACTCTGACGTCTGTTATCTCCTTTAAGGAAAGGCCTTGGTGCCATATGTGTTGTTGTCAGACAATAGTCAAAAAATGGCTTGGATGATTGTGACAGTTTTGGTGTGGTTTTTGAGGTTATTGAGGATGCTGCATGTATTTCTGACATTTTCAGGATCATAACTGGCAGTTATGAGTCCCCTAAGACTCCACTACAAATATGGCCACTTTCTGGTTAAAACTGCAATTTATGATCCTGAAAATGTCATAAATGGATCCATCATCCTCAATAACCCCCAAAACCAATCAAAAACTGTCACAATCAGCCAAGCCATTTTTTAACTCTTGTCTGCATATATGCTTATTAATGCTAATGTATGCAATGTATGCTAATTGCGCACATTTCCCAACATCTGCAGGTTAGCATCCGGAAGGTTCTATGACCCTACTATACATTTATAACATTACACTTTGGGGTTCTCAACATTTCAGGGTTCACTATATGACTGGCAAACAGAATATCATCTGCATCCATCATTCACTTTTGTCTGTGTGTGTGTGTGTGGTGTGTGTGTGTGTGTGTGTGTGTGTGTGTGTGTGTGTGTGTGTGTGTCTGTGTGTGTGTGTGTGTGTGTGTGTGTGTGTCTGTGTGTGTGTGTGTGTGTGTGTGTTTGTCACCAGCGTCGTACTCACAGTGCTATGGACAGCGGTCTAGAGCTTCTTATTGATCCTAACTCGGATGAGGTAACAGGTCAGTATACACCCCCCCCCCCCCACACACACACACACACTCATGAAGTGGATTGAGGTCAGCTGGTCTTTTAAGAAATGTACAGGAGCTTAACACTCAGACAACTGATCTGTGGAGATTAAAACCTTCCTTGCTCTCCTCTCCTCTCCTCTCCTCTCCTCTCCTCTCCTCTCCTCCCCTCTCCCCTCTCCTCTCCTCTCCTCTCCTCTCCTCTCCTCTCCTCTCCTCTCCTCTCCTCTCCTCTCCTCCCCTCTCCCCTCTCCTCTCCTCTCCTCTCCTCTCCTCTCCTCTCCTCTCCTCTCCTCCCCTCTCCCCTCTCCTCTCCCCTCTCCTCCCCTCTCCCCCCTCTCCTCTCCCCTCTCCTCTCCTCCCCCCTCTCCTCCCCTCTCCCCTCTCCTCTCCTCTCCTCCCCTCTCTCCTCTCCTCTCCTCTCCTCTCCTCTCCTCTCCTCTCCTCTCCTCTCCTCCCCTCTCCTCTCCTCTCCTCTCCTCTCCTCTCCTCTCCTCTCCTCCCCTCTCCTCTCCTCTCCTCTCCTCTCCTCTCCTCTCTCCTCTCCTCTCCTCTCCTCCCCTCTCCCCTCCCCCTCCCCTCTCCCCTCCCCCTCCTCTCTCCTCTCTCCTCTCTCCTCTCCTCACCACTGATCCATAGTAGTAATGTGTGTATGTATTTCTCCTGTGAAGGGAAACCATGTCATGGCTGTTTCCTTGTTGTGTCTCTTTCTCTGTTCACAGTTCTCCTTACACTGATGAAGATGAGAGGAAAGGGTTACACATACACATGCATTTACACACAGTATTTGACCCACTTTCATTCCTGTGTACATTTAACTCGTATTACATTTAGTTTTTAGTCAGTCTCTCCAGAAAATACAGATTTTGAGATTGTAATAATGAATGTAAATCAACCAGGCACTGAAATAATGTCCACACATTGTAAGCTTGTCTAACTCATAATAGATTATTATAATAATAATAATCATAAATTGGTCATATGGGAAAATATTTTTAGATATTTGACTTTCCAACATAAAATCAGGCATACACAGAACAAGATCAGTTCAAATGAAAGCCTAAACTTTCACTTTACCATTATTTGTAATTGTTTACACAGGACCATAGCCAATGTCTCTCAAATATTCAGTACATTTTTATTTTTTAAATGTTTTATACGTGTGTAACCCCTGCAGAGACAGTTCTGTGTTGTCCTCCTCTGTGTGTGCTGGTAGCCTCCTGCAGGTGTAGCAACATGTTAGCATCAGCATGTTAGCATCAGCATGTTAGCATCAGCATGTTAGCATCAGCATGTTAGCATCAGCATGTTAGCATCAGCATGTTAGCATCAGGATGTTCCTCTGTTTCACCTGCAGCATGCTTTCACAATACTACGAGCCAAACAAACTGTTCACATAAACACTGCTTTTGTCTTCTTGTCTCTCAGAAAATCCCTTTTGACACGTACAGACGCATGGTGAGTCATACTATTTCATGAGGTTTTAAAATACACATGAAATATTGATTTGTTCATAGCACACCTGAATCAACGTAATGTTCCCCAAGCTGATGGTCTGAAGCTGTATATGTACAATCACAATTCAACAACACATTTTGTATGTGTTTTTATTCTTTCATTTTAGAACCTGTTCTATCAACAAGCTATCATGAGGTCAAAGGTCAAATCTAGCGTGTCCCTTGGAGCGTAAGATCCTTTTTATTTGATCTATATTGGAATCTTTCTATGGGTTACTAATTATTTGTAATGTTACAAGACGAATCATGTTAGAATCACATGCACACTTTCTCAGATCTATGTGATCTGTATCCTTCTCATTACATGAAATAAGTTGTGATATTAAGAACAGCTTACACATTGGGCAGAGCAGCTGGAAAAGCTGACATGAAAGCACTTTGGTCTCATAATAATTATAAAAATTATGTTTCCGCAGACTGAACAAGTACGTCGCAACTTACAAAAACCACGACCCCTTCCTCGCCCCGTGTCTACCCAGCAACCCCTGGCTAACCGACAACGACACGTACTGGACGCTCAACATGAGACAGTGAGGGCTTCCTTTTCCTGTGCAATATGGGATCTTTCAGCTCAAATGAAATATAATGTTTGTAATTATTTTTCCGATTAGTGCATAATCACCTGCAGTGAAGTAAAGTAACAAAGTGTATTTACTCAAGTATTGTAATTAAGTACAATTTTGAGGCACTTGTACTTTACTTGAGTATTTAAATATGTTTGCTTGGTTTGGATGAATGATGTGAAATATACTCAAGTGTTAAATCAGACTTTAGTTCCACCTGGAGTAAATCCACAAGCTACCCTGCAGTATACAAAGTCATTCAAACTAGCTGCACCTTTACCAGCTTTGAGAACACTTTCATGATCAATCATTATAAAACATATCATATATATTATTCTGAAATGGACCAATCTGCACAATGACTACCTTTACTGTCGCTACTTTGGGTACAGTATGTTCAGATGAAAACAATGTTTAATGTGTAATATAAATGTGTTGCCAATCCATACAGATGGGTCAGCATGTTAGTGACCAGCGTTTTTTCTTGTGTCCAGACTGGAGGTCCCCACTAAGATGCGGGTGGAGCGCTGGTCCTTCAGCCTGTTCGAGCTGCTGAGCGACCTGCGAGGCCGAGACGACTTCAAGATCTTCCTCAAGAAGGAGTTCAGCGGTATGGGGTCAAATGACATCAAACACCACTCAGTTGGGGTTATGGCTCGCTTGTGTAGAATGTAATATTTTGATATTATATTGCATTCAGTTGCTATAGTATATGGATAGAATGTAGAAAGAGATCTTAAGATATGCAGCAGGAGATACTGTGTTTATATGCACAGCTCAGTGTCTTCATTCAGATAAACCTTTTGCAAATGTCCTGTAAAAGTGTACTCACAGGTGTTACCTTCAGGTGGCAAAATGATGTTATGCTTACTTTAAATGTTTGCAGGCGTCACCAATACTTCTATCCTACGTACAGTAGCAGAAGATTCATGTCATAATTATACTGTATATTCATCACAAACCTGTGTGTGTGTGTGTGTGTGTGTGTGTGTGTGTGTGTGTGTCCCAGGTGAGAACCTGGCATTTTGGGAGGCAGCTGAAGAACTAAAGTGGGGCACTGCATCTTCAATGACATCTAAAGCTGAGACCATTTTCAAGTAAGACAGAAAACACACTGTCTATCTCTGTGTGTGTGTGTGTGTGTGTGTGTGTGTGTGTGTGTGTGTGTGTGAAAACTTCAAACTATTGCTTCTAAAAAAACAAAGATATCTCCTTTTTGTTGTGAACATGCCCATTGGGCTTTATTTGACATGTGATGAAAAGAGCAACCCAACACTGAATGAGTTTCAACACGTTCTGAGAGGAAATGTGTACTTTGTATGAAACAACCCATTGTTTTACATCAACTTTTTCCACACACACCAACCTCCCTCATACAGTGAGGAGAAACACATAGCAATGTGGAACATTTGAATTTTGTCAGAAAAAAGTCTGATCACATCTACTAGACTAGAATCACACCCATGGCTGTTATTTTATAAACATATTTTCAAATATTTACTGTTGTGCCTTCTTTTTATTGATTTATACCTAAATGTGTGTATATGTACATATATGTCTGTCACACCAATAGAGGAATTGACAATAAAGTTGACTTTGACACATTTTTCAAACACAGTGAGTAGAGAACATCCCATCCCCTATTTCCTCCCAGATATTGATGTGGAGTGTCTGTGTTCAGGACCTTCCTGGCCCCCGGGGCCCCCCGCTGGATCAACATTGATGGCAGGACCATGGGCCTGACGGTGAAGGGCCTGGATCATCCTCACCGCTACGTGCTGGAGGCCGCACAGACACACGTGTTCCTGCTCATGAAGAAGGTATTCTGTGTGATGTGGAGAGGCAACAGCAAACATGTCTAAGCATGGCTATCAGTGCTTAAAACATTCGTCTTTACAAATAAGCTTTTCTTGATTATTGTGAGGATATTGCTCCCTGTTTGGCCACAGAAAGCATGTGTAACAGTGTATGTTCCTAATTATACTGGGCCTGCAATATATTATACAGACAATACTTTGTCTAAATGCCCAGAGTTAAGGCATGTGTGCAGTGAACTGAGCTCCTCATGCTGTGTCTCTTTGCTACAGGATACTTTCTTCCGCTACCTCAAGTCACCAGTGTACAAAGAAATCCAGAAGAAGGCTCTGAACCCTGAGCCGCATAACTTCAGGTTGGTAGCTCATCCTCACCTCTCTGACATCTCGCTGCCCCTGCACATGAATACATGTGATCACATGATTTACATGATCCTTTAGCTTTAGGCATCCCAATATATATGTAGAAGGCCACACAGCCAGACAGTTGTCCCCCTCAGATGGATACTCACTTCCACAAACACCTTGTATAGTTTGCAGTTAGAAGTTGTTTTGATGACAGATTCCAACACAATAACTTAAAGGGACATTACAGCAGCTACTAAAAGGTCACACAGGAGAATGATCAGAAAAAGCTGGAGTTGCTTCAGTGTCACACAGAAGCTATGGAAGCATTGCCTATTGATGTATTAACTCTGTGGGTTGCTCATGTTTGTACCGTGGTTATTACATGTTTTTCGATGTGAGGGAGCAGGAAGTACTGTTTTAGAGATTGGTCAGTTATCTGTGTTGTTTTAGAATGTGTGTCATAATGGATCCCATGTGTTTTATCTGCAAACCAAATCAACATACGGGTACAAATAAATAACCTGAACCTGAACCTACCCCAAACTGAAAGCCACTGAAAATGCTGTGATTTATATGAATCAATTTCATCATGTTTCTGTTTCCACCCTAGTCCAGGCCAGCTGGAGCAAAATGCTCAGAACCGGAGCCCAGGCATCCATCCCCTGATCCTCTGGCAGCAGGACGAGGCAGAGAAGGCCAAGGCAGCCGCCGCCTCTGTCCCCGTGGATGTCAAGGCCTTGATGAGCAAATTAGACAGGAAGAAGTAGAGAAATAGAGTGTGTGATTGCTGTTTAATGTCATGACAATTCATGTTGTAAATATTCCCCTAAATGATCGAAGGGGAAAATCCAGTGTTCGTTACTGAAGGATTACTGACCAGGCCGACTTGGCACAGGTGATGACTACACACAAATGCTAAATGACCACACATAGACCCATCATCACAAAGACAGAAACAAAAGACACTACTACAGATGCAACACGACCACAATGACAAGCAAAGTAAGACACAACCTTAAAGAGCCGTTAAAGGACATTTAAAATAACTGCAGTTAGATTCAAAATGACCCTAAAGTAACAGAATGGCTACAAAGTGACTCCTAATGACCACAAGATGCAACGACTGTCCTGATCCTTTGCAGGAGGGGTGGGGGGGCTTTTACATGTTTCAGCCCTATTGTCTTGTAATCTGTTCATGGTGTTTATAGATGCACATTTGAATGAAAGGCATCACTGATATGAGATTTCTTTAGAAAAGTATTGAGTATGTTATGTAACTTTCTACCTAAGTCAAAATTCATATCAACAAATCAGATTTATTTCATGTTAAATACTAGAAAATATTGCATTAGCTGAGCTTGTAATAGTTATATTCTTTTCATGCATATTGCCCCATACCAGTGTGAGGAGACATATCTCATTGTTGTGAACATTGGAGACAGTTGTGTTGCTGCAGTATCTTACAATAATACTTGTGGCAGTATATACTGCTAAGAGATGTTGAATCATATTCAAGAGATGTATTTGTAATACATGTAAACCATTGCTCCAGTTATAGTCAAAGTGTCCTAATGTATGTCAGTAGCTGGAGGCTAGAAGTGAATACATGTCATCAGGGTAGAACAGACTTGTGTTTGTGTGCTAATAGTTGTAATAACCAATGAACTACTGTGTTCCACAGCAAGCCGTTTGGATTTTCTGTACATTCCATCTTAGTTACAAACTATCATGTTACCAATGATAATAAGAATATAACACAATTTATATTAAATGATTGACCAAATAAAGCTGTAACAAGGGTTGCAGTCAAAGAATGAGAAGCATTTTTCAACGACCAGGTGGCTACTCGTTAAGTATACTCTGTATTAGAGTCTATTCTTTACTCTAAATGGGACACGTTTTACAAAAAGAAACTAGCAATTGTGACCATAAATTCATTAGGAAGATTTTGAGCAAGTTAATACATCCTAGACTTCTATACAATCTGACTTGATGCAGGTTTAAGGCACTTCCACATTGGCTTTACCTTTTTGTTCCGGAAGTTGTACTGAAGCACAGAAAATGCTAAAAGCAAATCAATATTTCAGCAAAGGACAAATGATCTCCTCCTTGGTTGAAATCCTTTGCTCTAAGCCCAGGTGAATTCAATCACACAACACACACGTCTCAAAGACAAAATTGTTTTACTATATATTATTTTTACAAAGTTTCTGCAAAGTCAAATAAAAAGTGTTGTGCACAAAGGGTTATTTGGCCATGCCAGACAGCCAGCTGAGTTTGAACAGAGAGGGAGCGGCAGAGTCCTCGTCCTGAGCAGCCAGCTGTCTGAAGAGGCTGCCCGGCCGGAAGCTGTCCTCACCCGCTGTGGAGGAGGGGGGGGGAGGCGTCTGCTGCAGGGAGGAGAACACGGCAGGTTAGCTGAGGTTTTGGTGGATTGTCCATCCTAATTCTTAAGTAATAAAAACAACACAATGGTCACAAGCTACTCTGCAGTCACCGGTTCAAATAGGGCTATCATACTATCCCTGGATGGCCGTCTCTTGGGATGTGGGCATTCAACTCACTCAAGAGCCCATTAAATGTGTTAGGGGAAGAACACCGAACATTAAGTATTTAACAACAGGTAAAAAAGGTGATTTGCTCCGAACGACACGGGTCCCTTTCAATGGTAACCAGAGAGTACACAGTACAAAGAGAGTACACAGTACAAAGAGAGTACACAGCACAAAGAGAGTACACAGTACAAAGATACTACAGCGTTCTACATCAGTATTCTTCCAAACATCTTCAGTGTTGCTCAGCAGCAATGCTAAGCACAAATCTTCCACCTTTGGTTTGACAAGCTTAACATTTTAATGGAAGACTTTTTGTGGTTGGAATAAATTGTGATTTGTATTTGATACCTGCCTGATGGTCCCACACAGACACCATTTAACAACTGCTTGAGTGACTTCTTGTTCCAGGAGATGGCAAGTGCCGGCATCAGATCACACGCTGATTAGTTATTAGTTCATCGGAAATAGTTGACTGTCAATTACTTTGAAGAAGATTGTGGAAATTCAATATGTGAATTACATTTAAAATAAAATGTAAAGTCTATGGAACAATTGAGGTTTTCATAAGTCTCATTATTTCTCTGGTGTACCACAGGTTAAAATAATAAATGCATAGAAAATATAATAGTTATGAAGCAGGTTTAAATTCTAGTTTACCTCTACTACTAACGATCATAATGTCAACAAGGCAGTTCCTCTCTGTCAGCTATGTCAAATATCAGTATCATAAAGTAACTTCGCTCCGTTGGGGTTTAACAATGAATCAGAGGCAGGAGCCGTGTTGTGAGATGACCAGCGCTGTAGTTAGCTCCTGAATGTCTCACAACATGTTCCAGTGAGAAGGTATACCAGCACAACGGTAAATCCAGCACTGTGATGTGTAGCTTCACAGGGCTAGCTACAGGAGAGCCGCTCTGGAGCTCCATGCTAACATTTCAAATGTGGAGAGGGAATGTAGTGGACAGGAGAGGAGACAAGAAGCTAAAGGTCACATTCATTATCTAAGGGGTCACTGGTGGGGACTACTTTCACCTTTAAACTAGTTAACACTCAAAGTGTTATCATGGAACACCTAATCCAACGTTTCAGAGAGCCTGGATTATTCTGTCGGAACAGTAAAGTTTGTCGTCTCATCAAGAGTCAGATGGAAGGAGTAGATGTTAGCTCCGAGCACCCAGCAGTGAGAGGATGCAGGTTTAGCCTAGCTTAGCAGAGAGAATGGAGGCAGAGGGACACTGCTGGCCATGCAAAGCAACAATTCAACTTGCACTGGCTCCAAGGCACACTTATATCATTGGAATTCATGTTGGTCATTCTTTATTTTGAAGGAAAGCTTAAAATGGATTATTTTGGACAAATCCCAACTGGGGTTGCATAGAGACATCAGATTGTTTGTATTGCTGTGGACATTGCCCCACATTAAACTAGTAATGCATGCAACTCAAGATGTGATTTGTCCACTCAGAACAGGAAAATGCCATGTCATTGTTGCAGTGCTGCTTCCCCAAGAAAGTGTCCAGTCATTAGTCTGATCCTGAGCTGAGCCCGGCAGAGAAGCAGAACATTCTGTAGTCCGTCTGAATCATTTCACCACTTCATAATCTGTACTGTCACACTGTAAAGGCACCAAAGCTAAACCAAGGCACTACTGAAAACACAACAAAAGACACACACACACACACACACACACACACACACACACACACACACACACACACACACACACACACACACACACACACACACACACACACACACACACACACACACACACACACACACACACACACACACACACACACACACACACACACACACACACACACACACACACACACACACACACACACACACACACACACACACACACACACACACACACACACACACACACACACACACACACACACACACACACACACACACACACACACACACACACACACACACACACACACACACACACACACACACACACACACACACACACACACACACACACACACACACACACACACACACACACACCCAAAGTGAGGAACTTGCCTGAGTCTCTTGCACTCAGAATCTCTGAGGAGGCAGAGGGTGTAACAGACAACATTACCCAGGGTGCAACAAAACAATAAACAGAGAGATGAAGACATACAGTGTGTGTCAGCATATGAAACAATAGAGTTACGTCCTGCTGCTGATCTCAGATCAGTTACTCACCAGCTGGTGAGGAGCCTCAGAGCTCCGGGAGGCCGACTTGGGTTTACGCACATTGGACATGCTGAGAGGTAGCAACCCGAACCTGAGGAGGGGACATCGTGGGAATTAGGTTGAAATACAATTTTGAAAAAAGGTATGGTACATATCCAAAAGAGACAGGGAAGGATAGTTACTGTATATACAGTCATATTAATGACTGACTATAGCTGGACTCAATGACAGGACTGGGTCACATGGTACAATGCCTGCAGTGGGCCCCAGTGACTAATATTCATACTACATAGACTACATAGATTCATATCTAGGGCTAGCCTAGATAATTCGTTAATCATGAGAAATATGAATATCACTCATCAACACTGCAGCCCTGTCTGTTTCTTTCACCCTCTAACAGGGATCCTTTCTTACTTAAATAACACTTTCATCTCAAAATGAATGTAGGACTTCTCAACAGAGATAATGCTGACCAACTTTAGCAAAACTAAGTGCAAAGGCTAACTCAACAAAGTAACAAGAACAGATACCCGATTCAAATCCAGATGTATATAGACTATATATTAGCTCCACTTACTGAGAATAATAATAATAATAATAACTATATTGAGAAAGCTGGCTAATACAAGCCCTTCTGAATAATACTGAATAGAGTCAACAGTTTGAAAGTTGGTAAGTTAATGAGAACAAACATGGTGCTTGGCATACCTCAATACTTTAAAGATACTGACCAAGAAGACACCTTCTTGCTTACATTGATAATCTTCTTACTTAGTTTTTCTATCTGACATTTGGGGATTTAGTAAGATCTGACCAACATCAGATATTTTATTTGGTAATTGAGTTTAGCTGAGCTGGAGTTGACCTCTGACCTGATCTGGCTGCTGGCCAGTGGCAGGATGTTGTACGGCTCCTGGGAGTTCACACTGCTGCTCCGCGAGGGGAACTGCTTCTCTGAGCCCGTCAGCAGGCCCAGCAGCACCTGAGGCACAACGTCACATGACCTCAACAACTTCAGTAACAGGGC